TATATATATATATATATATATATATATATATATGTATGCCTGTGTATATATGTGTATGTTTTATACGTGAAATTACTTCAAATTGCTTTAAGATTTGTTATTTTCACTCGTGAAATTAACAATTGTTAAGTCAAACAATTTTCTATTTGTGAATTAACTATTACCTTTAATATCAGGAACATTCTACCCCAAGGTTTTAAATTACTCCTGATTTTTTTTACGATGAATTAAATTTATTTTGCTTACTTGGCATATGCTATCAGTATGGATAATCATTTAAGATATTTTCTCGTATAAATATACTTCAAATCGCTATGACTAATATAACTTTACGATTAAAATTATATCAGGTCATTCATAAATCATTTGTTTGTTGTTTGCAAATTCTATTCAGGATCTTGAAAAGCAGCTAAGGTTATTTTCTTGCCTTTATTTGGCTAAAATATTTTACTGCAGAATGAATAAAAAAACAGTAAATGTAATAAAGAGTAAGAATTATATCCTGTTTGTTCAAAAAATTAATAATTACAACACGGATATTTAATTTGCAGTATGAATAATTTCCCCGCGAATGATGAATGGCGGTCTTGCTCCTTCTTCCTCATCCTCATCCTTCTTCATCCTTCCTCATCATCCTCCTTCCTCCTCCTCCTCCTTCCTCATCTTCATCCTTCCTTATCCTTCCTCATCCTTATCCTCCCTCCTCTTCTTCCTCCTTCCTCCTCCTCCTCCTTCCTCATTCCCATCCTCCTGCTTCCTCGTCCTCCTTCCTCCTCCTCCTTCCTCCTCCTCCTCCTTCCTCATCCTCATCCTCATCCTTCCTCATCCTCCCCCTTCCCCATCCTCATCCTTCCCCATCCTCCATCCTTCCTCATCCTCCATCCTTCTTCCTCCTCCATCCTCCTTCTTCCTCATCCTCATCCTCATCCTTCCTCATCCTCCATCCTTCCTCATCCTCCATCCTTCCCCATCCTCCCGCCAGTTCCATGTCATTGGCGACGCGGCTTAACTCTCCCAGGGGCTTCTTTCCCGGAGCAAAGGGAGACCCACGGATGCTCTTCCAAATAAGGAGGGGATGGAGAACAGGGAAGGGGAGAGGGAGAAGGAGAGGAGAAGGAGAGGGAGGGGAGGAAGAGGAAGGAGAGGAGAGGAGAGGGAGAGGAGAGGGAGAAGGAGAGAGAAGGAGAGGAGAGGGAGAACAGGGAAGGGGGGAGGGAGAAGGAGAGGGAAAGGAGGAAGAGGAAGGAGAGGAGAGGGAGAAGGAGAGAGAAGGAGAGGAGAGGGAGAACAGGGAAGGGGGGAGGGAGAAGGGGAGGGAGGGGAGGAAGAGGAAGGAGAGGAGAGGGAGAACAGGGAAGGGGGGAGGGAGAAGGAGAGGAGAGGGAGAAGGAGAGGAGAGGAGAAGGAGAGGGAAAGGAGGAAGAGGAAGGAGAGGAGAGGGAGAGGAGAGGGAGAAGGAGAGAGAAGGAGAGGAGAGGAGAGGGAGAACAGGGAAGGGGAGAGGGAGAAGGAGAGGGAAAGGAGGAAGAGGAAGGAGAGGAGAGGAGAGGGAGAAGGAGAGAGAAGGAGAGGAGAGGAGAGGGAGAACAGGGAAGGGGGGAGGGAGAAGGAGAGGGAGGGGAGGAAGAGGAAGGAGAGGAGAGGGAGAGGGTCCTCCTTCCTCATCCTCCATCCTTCCTCCTCCTCCTCCTCCTCCTCCTCCTCCTTCCTCCTCCTCCATCCTTCCTCATCCTCCATCCTTCCTCATCCTCCATCCTTCCTCCTCCTCCATCCTTCCTCCTCCTCCATCCGTCCTCCTCCTCCATCCTTCCTCCTCCTCCATCCTTCTTCCTCCTCCATCCTCCTTCTTCCTCATCCTCATCCTCATCCTTCCTCATCCTCATCCTTCCTCATCCTCCCCCTTCCCCATCCTCATCCTTCCCCATCTTCCTCCTTCCTCATCCTCCATCATTCCCCATCCTCCATCCTTCCTCATCCTCATCCTTCCTCATCCTCCATCCTTCCTCCTCCTCCATCCTTCCTCCTCCTCCATCCTTCCTCATCCTCCATCCTTCCTCATCCTCCATCATTCCCCATCCTCCATCCTTTCTCCTCCTCCTTCCTTCCTCTTCCTCCATCCTTCCTCATCCTCCATCCTTCCCCATCCTCCATCCTTCTTCCTCCTCCATCCTCCTTCTTCCTCATCCTCATCCTCATCCTTCCTCATCCTCCATCCTTCCTCATCCTCCATCCTTCCCCATCCTCCCGCCAGTTCCATGTCATTGGCGACGCGGCTTAACTCTCCCAGGGGCTTCTTTCCCGGAGCAAAGGGAGACCCACGGATGCTCTTCCAAATAAGGAGGGGATGGAGAACAGGGAAGGGGAGAGGGAGAAGGAGAGGAGAAGGAGAGGGAGGGGAGGAAGAGGAAGGAGAGGAGAGGAGAGGGAGAGGAGAGGGAGAAGGAGAGAGAAGGAGAGGAGAGGGAGAACAGGGAAGGGGGGAGGGAGAAGGAGAGGGAAAGGAGGAAGAGGAAGGAGAGGAGAGGGAGAAGGAGAGAGAAGGAGAGGAGAGGGAGAACAGGGAAGGGGGGAGGGAGAAGGAGAGGGAGGGGAGGAAGAGGAAGGAGAGGAGAGGGAGAATAGGGAAGGTGAGAGGGAGAAGGAGAGGGAGGGGAGGAAGAGGAAGGAGAGGAGAGGGAGAAGATGAGGGATAGGGGAGGAAGAGGGGAGGAAGAGGAAGGAGAGGGAGAAGAGGGAAACGAAGTGGAGTGAGAAGGTAAAGGAAAGTGAGAAAAAGAGAGAGGGAGGGGAAGAGGGAGAGGGAGAAAAGAGAGACGAGGGAGAGGGAGAAAGAGAAACAGGGAGAGAGAGAGAGATAGACATACTATCTGTTTCCTTTTGCTTCTAAATTATCCCCTGTGTGCAAGGAATGACCGGGGTTAACATTCACTGGCGGTGAATGATTTGAACACAGATCAGCAAGATTACTAGACGAGATCACTACCGCTGCACCACACAGCACACCACACAGCACACTCTCTCTTCCCTCTCCTTGTCCCTCTTCCTCTCCTCCCTCTCCTTCTTCTTCTACCCTCTCCCTCCCCTTCTCCTATCCTCTCCTTCTTCTTCTACCCTCTCCCTCCCCTTCTCCTCTCCTCTCCTTCTTCTTCTACCCTCTCCCTTCCCTTCTCCTATCCTCTCCTTCTCCTGGCTTTTACAAGTCTACCCTTGCCTTGCTTTACTTCTTGGTAAGCCTGTCTATTATCATAGACATCATAACATATCATAACAGATCTAACAAACATCGATAGTGATCATGTTCTTCTCTCTCTTCTTGCCTTCCCCTTTCTTCTCGCATACTTCTATGTCTACCTGTGCTGGAAGTCATATTTGGCTTTAGAATAAGTTTTGATGACCTAATCAGTACCCCCAGTGCAAATGGAAGCCCGCACCTGATGTCCACCCAGTACTATTCACGTTGTATAACGTGTGTGGTTTCGCTAACCTCTTGCAATGGCAAAGGGGATGTTGAAAGGACCGGTAAGGGCATAAGTGCTATGATTAATAGATTAAGTGTGATGTGAATTTGATGATGATAGGCCATATTTTTTCGATAATTGAAAAATTGTCTATGTTAAACTACAGGTAGTGTATACATCTTGTTCATGCCATTGCTCAGCTGTCCCCTTTTTCGTCATATTTTGTGAACCATTTAAATAAAAAGGTGAATGTCCTTGAATGTTCTCCTCATAGTCACAGGGCCTATTATATTGTCGTGTATTGTATATTACTTTCTCTTGCACTGTTTTTGCTTGATTTGTTTTCTTTGATTTATGTTATTCAGTCATTAAAGATATCGAATACTGAATTTTGCATGAATTGTGCTCATAGTGATTTTACTTTTTTTTGTAAGCATAACATTTTCTTCCATGGATACAAGATGCGCGGGCTGATAAAAAAGAACTAAGAAGGCGGTATGGATGAATGTCGTTACTACTACTTATATTACCTCAATCACCGTTATGCTATCCTTATTTATCCTACTTTGACGTTTCTAATTTTGTTTCACTTATTTTTACAGATATTGTTGCTGTCATTACTGCAACATAACTTAAGCATTAATGTTGTCCAATCTCATTATTATCTTTCTCTTTTCTCATTTCAAGCGCAGGCCAAGAAGAATGCTCTTGAAGCAGAGACATCAAGTCGCAGGCCTCAAGAAGCAGGCGGGACCGGGCCGAGCTCCGATCCAGCTCCAAGCTGTTAGAGCTCAATTCAGCCGTGCCCGGGGAAAAGGTGCTCATGTGCCTCGACCCTGTACGAGAGGTAAGTCACGGAGAAATTATGCTTTCTTGTAAAAATAGCCTTGATTACATTGTTTCTGTTTCGATTCTTTTTGTTCATGTGTGGACCATGAAAGTTTTTTGTTTTCTTTGTTACTGTGGCACTGTTTTGCCTACGTTTTAAAATAAATGTCATGTAATTTGAGGTCCATACCTATTTTCCTATTTTTGGCAAAGACGACTGCAGCTGCTCTAGGTCCTCGGCAAGACTTGGTGAGGCTGGCAGAGCATCCAAGGGCCCCCCTTTGCTCCAGGACAGAAGCCCTTGGGATAGTTAAGCCGCGTCGCCAATGACATGGAACTGCTGTATAGTGCGAACGTTTAAAGAGACATGCCAGTTCCCTTTTAAATTGTTACAAATGTTTAGGTGCTAGCAGAAAGATCTTGTTATCCCATCAAACTAGAAAAATGATTATTGCAAGTGAAAAGCAGGAAGAGGAGGAGGAGGAGCAGCAGTAGAAGACCAGCCTTTCCCGCCTTTTAAGCCACTTAGTGTTCTACCCGCGCAACCCATTCATCATTCATGGGGAAATTAGTCATACTGCTAATTGAATATCCGTGTTGTAATTATTATTTTTTGAACAAACAGGATATAATTCTCACTCTTTATTCCATTTAATACTTTTTTATTCATTCTCTAGTAGAATATTTTAGCCAAATAAAGGCAAGAAAATAGCCTTAGTATTTCTTTCCGTTTCGCAAAATCTTGTTTAGTGTACCATTTACTCTTATCATTTGTCCACTTGAGCTTGGATGGTATGGAGTAATAGTACGTTGATCATTCCCAAATTCTTCTGTTAGATTTTCAAATAGTTCGTATATGAATTCCCGGCCCCCGTCAGAAATGATTTGATGGGGAGTCCCTTCTTTGTAAAGGAATCCGCCGGTAAATGCCCTCGCGACTTCTGATGAATCCTTGGACTTTGATGGAACTGCCACAAGGTATTTGGTCAAAGCATCTACTACTGTAAGAATATAACGGAAACCCTCAGATTCCGGGTACAGACCCACTATATCCATATGGACACGCTCAAAAGGCCTTGAAACTTCAGGATATTTTAAGAGATGAACAAGGATATGCTTGTCTGGCTTACAGCGCAAACACATGTTTGAATAATGTTCCCTTACCGATTTCTTCATGTTTAAAAAGAAATACAAATAATTTCAATCTCTTTAAGGTCACCAAGACACCCCATGCCGTGCAACAGAAATAGAATGAGCTAACCTTAAAGCTGTACTTTGATACAATTCTGGTACCACAACCCGAAAGACCTTTCTAAAAGGCTTATCTAAAACATTATATAATATATCATCAGGTCGTACCTGATCATTTTCGATTCTCCCGCGAATCCCTTTAAACTCGTCATCTTTATTTTTTTACATCTTGTGCATTTCATAAACTATCTAGTCCCCAAATGTCTGTGGTCTCAGGTGGACTACTGTCACTGCCACCTACCATTTCTGACCTTAGACTATCGAGCCGATTTATCCCTTTATTAGATTTAGTTGCTTGGCGAGCAACCGCACCGACAACTAAATCGTCTATCGACTGATCAGCTGCTCTGATTCGCGACAGCGCATCTGCTAAATGATTGTCCTTGCCCGACAAGTACTCTACACAAATATCAAACTCTGCTACCGACATACGCCGCCTAGCTAATCTTTCATTCCCATCTCTACTAAAAAAAAAAGATAACGAAATGGCCTATGGTCTGAATGAACTAAAACTGGAAAACCCTAAATCAATGTTCTGTTTATCTTTAGCCCATATACTATCGCCAATGCCTCTCGTTCTACAGTAGAATAATTTAACTCGGCACCTTTTGATTGAAATAAGACAGTGGTGGAAGGCTTCCATTATTATCCTCCTGTTGGAGAGTTCTTTCAAAACTATAGGTTGTGGATATCTCTCCATAGTTTCAGTATTTTTCTTTTGTTGTTTAATACCCTTCTCACTAATCACATGTCCAAGATACTTAAGTTCGGACTTAAAAAGCGAACATTTAATAAGTTTGAAAGAGAGATTACTCTGCTGAAGGCGACCTAAAATTCGAGTTTCCCACGTGTCTCCCAAAACTACAATGTCGTCCAAATAAACAAAACCCACATCCCGATAAGATCAGAAAAAAACTGATCCTTTAAAAAGCAGAAGGTGCATCTTTCATACCGAAAAGCAAGCTCATAACTTCGTAGTGTCCAACTATAGTGGAAAATGCCGTTTTCTCTCGACTAGTGGGGCTCAGGGGTATCTGATGGTATCCCTGCCTAAGGTCTAAACTCGAGAATAAAAGACTCCTACCTAGCCTCTGCAGGATAGAATCTAAGTTTGGCAAGGGGTATCGGTCATCCTCAATACATCCATTAAGAACTCTGAAATCATGACAAAACTGCAACCCCCCATCTCTATTTCGTACTGACACTACTGGTGCATTGTAAGGAGAACGTGAGGGTTGTATAATCCCATCTGTCAACTTAGAGTCAATTCGGGTTCTAATCTCGTCTCTGTATTTCAACGGAAGGAGGACCTCCCACCCTTATTTCGTGAAAGTATTCTTTCGAAATAATTAAAGGATCCTCATCAAAACTATAACCAAAACCAGCACCCCGTGCTCTTCTGAACTTCGTTCAAATATTTTGTCTATTTTCTCTAATAATCTACAAATGTTATTTCTGTAGCTCTTATCACTTTTATTGACACCATCTGATGGCTGAATAGGAGCCACTATGTCTTTCATTAAGCTAATCTCTAAATCCTTCCGAGGAATAAATAACACATTTGTTCCATTTAAATTATTCATTCTAATGTCCCTTTGGCGTGTCCCTGACCCTCCTCTTATCTTTTGATAAAAAAGGAAACATCTATCCATGGTATGGCCTGTCTTCTGACAATATCCACATGTCATGGTAGGTTTGCCACGACTCCTTCCCATCTGAGTACTAGGGCTTGCTATGCGAGCAGACAGCATTTGGCATTTACTTGCTGTGGCCACGTCCTTGACAGTAACCACATGTCACAGTATCATCCCTTGTCGCATTCCTCTTAAAATCTACGTCTTTCCTTTCATCTCCTGTCTTATCTACAGTTTTCCTGTTAACCTCGATCTGTTTCTTTAATACTTCCGTTCTAAGAGTATCATTTCGATTGCCACCGTCCCACCGTCACCATTTTTTTCTTTTTGAGAGACCCCGCTCCCTTCCTTGGCTACCGCCCCTTCTAGATTTTTTTTACAATCTCCTCCTTTGTCGCCTCCCTACGGCAATCAGTAGCTTTATTTTGTTCGGCAATCCTTCGTCTTCACAAGCCCAGGACAACCATCAAAAAACTCTTCTGGAAGTTCCCTGGCAAAGACAATACATATCATGCTCTCCCTATCCCGGGTCTTAACTTGTTCGGCTAATGCAGTTCTGGTGCCGGTCATCGCATCATAAACCACTCTGAGCTCGTCTGCCAAGGAACTCCATTTATATTCGACGTCTTTAGATCTTGCATACCATGATTCGTATGTTCCTAACGCATCCCCTCTAAGTCCCCTCTAAGGACATTTCCCTTCATAAAAGGGAAGGCGCTGTTCTACCTCAATTATAGGATTCCTCTTCCTCTCCTCATTGAACACTAGCCTAAGATCAGGGGACTGCTGGGGAGTCGAGGACTGTTTTTTTTCTCCGCCGTGCCCTGGACAGTTTCCTCCGCCGCCCCGAAGGCC